GTGCCAAAGAGAATGGACCCATGAAGTGCATGTACTGCGGCGGAGAGCACAAGTTGGAAGTGTGCCCCATGTTTTGCCAGTGGACTGTTGGGAGCAGGTACCACTTCTGCAAGACGGAGGGTATATGTTTTCGCTGCCTTTCAGGAACTCACAACGGCCGTAACTGTCGCCAGTATCCTGGCTATTCTGTCGCGGCGTGCGGCGGCAGCCATCATACACTACTGCACGCTGAAGCCAGCGGTTTGACCTGCTCCGAGGCTCCCAGCGGAGGCGCAGCCATTCGGGAGACAGAACAGAGGACCGCTAATGCTTCGCAGGTGTTCAAAACAAAACAGGTTCAAGAAGACACGAACACCGTAGCGTTCCAGACAGTCCCTGTCAGACTGACCAATGGAACAAGATCAGTGGTGGTGAACGCGCTGCTCGACCCCTGCTCGGACGCAAGTTTCGTCACCAGAGCCACTGCTGAAGAGCTGAAACTCAGTGGAACCGAAGAAATGTTTGAGTTGGGGACGGTGAATGGAAATGAATCGGTGAACATGAAGAAAACCGAAGTGAAGATGAGTTCTCTGGATGAGAAGTTTGGCATTGACTTGAGTGCCTTCGTCATTGATGACCTGTCAAGTGCTTCTACGATCGGTGATTGGAATGGCATCAAGTTGAAGTGGGACCACCTGAAGTCTCTGCCATTTCCAACACCTACGAAGAAGCAAGGCGTTGACATGCTCATCGGACTTGCCAGGAACACCATGGAACTCTTCATTCCGCTGGAGACTGTGAAGGGCGGTGAAGACGATCCAGTGGGTATCAAAACACCGTTGGGATGGACGGCATTCGGACTTCTCGGATATGAGCGCAGCGGAAGCAACAGCAAGACGATGAGAACGAACATGAAGGTGATGAAGTTGGAAGAGTTGAAGAAGCTGAAGTTGGCTCCTTCCGAAGAGGCGCCACCAAAACCGGAGAAGCACAATGAAGAAGAAATCGAAGCAATGAAGGCAATGACCAGTTTGGACCTGATCGGGATCCAAAATGAAGCTGAAGTTCTGTCCCATGAAGACAAGATAGCGACAAAAATGATGGAGACTCCTCTGAAGTTTGATGGCGAGCGCTATGAAGTTGCTGTCCCGTGGCGAGACGGAAGGCCAAACCTACACGGAAACTTTGGATACGCGGTCAAAAGGCTCGAGAGGACCGAGAAGTCGTTGAAGAAGGCGGGGAAGGAGCTGCTGACGGACTACGACGCCGTCTTCAAAGACTACCTCTCCAAGGGCTACATGAAGAAGCTTGAAGGTGAAGACAGGATGACTGCTGAAGAGGACGGATGGTTTCTGCCACATTTTCCTGTGATAAGAAGCGACCGAGTCACCACGAAACTGAGAGTGGTCTATGACGCTGCCGCCAACTTCAGAGGCAGAAGTCTCAACAGCCAGCTCTACACGGGTCCATCAATGTGCAACGACCTCATTGAAGTTTTCCTCGGTTTCCGTCGGCACCCAATCGCCCTCACGGGCGATGTGAAGGAAATGTTCCTGCAGGTGAAACTTCCAGAGGAAGATCAGAAGTATCACAGAGTGATGTGGAGGAACGGTGATGAAGAACGTGAAGTTGATGTATATGAAGCGAGCAGGTGGTTATTCGGCAACGCAGCAGCACCCTTTGCAGCGCAGTTTGTTGTGAAGCGGAACGCCGAGATTCACGCAGAGAAGCTTCCCTTGGCTGCAAATGTCGTGAATGATTCGTTCTATATGGATGACGCCATCACCTCATTTGAAGATGTCGAAGCAGCAGTGGAAGCTCGGAAACAGCTGACCGATCTCATGGCAGGTGCTGGAATGAAGATAAGGAAGTGGATGAGCAGCCACACAAAAGTCATGGAAACTGTGCCACCTTAGGATCGAGCTGAGAAGTCTTCCGTGAAAATCGAACAACATTCTTCTCCAAACAAGGCCCTGGGTGTTGTCTGGAACGCAGAAGATGATGTGATCAGCGTCAGCTCCGGTCCGAGGACAGATGAAGCTGAAGACAAAGGCACAATCAGAACCAAGAGAAGTTGTCTGAAAGTTCTAGCCTCCGTGTTCGATCCGCTCTGCCTCTGCTCGCCTTTCACGGTCACAGGGAGGCTGCTGTTTCAACAGACATGGCAGCTGAATCTGGACTGGGATGATGACCTCCCACCGGAGCTGGAACGGAGATGGAGAAGATGGGAGTCAGAGCTGCGAAGATTGGAGTCAGTGAACGTGCCTCGCTGTCTGCATCCATTTGAAGAGATCTGCCGGCAGGAGATACACGTGTTTTCAGACGCGTCAGAGTCTGCATACGCCGCCGCTATATGCGTAGTAAGTCAACAGGATGAAGAAAGGTCATCAAGACTGGCCATGTCAAGGGTCAGAGTGGCGCCCAAGTCGACAAAAGTCAGCATACCACGGCTCGAACTCATGGGAGCACTGCTTGGCGCCCGGCTAGTGAAGAAGGTGTGCAAGATGATGAACATTCCGATGACCGGAGTATTCTTCTGGTCAGACTCAGTGAATGTTCTCTGCTGGATCCGCAACGACGTCAGCAGGTTCCAGAGCTTCATGGCACACCGGGTGTCGGAAATCAGAGACACTACAGAGCCAAGACAGTGGCAGCACGTGCCCGGGACAAGAAACCCAGCCGACCTGCCGACCAGAGGCCAGAGCTCGGATGAGGTGGCCCAAAGCAAGATGTGGTGGGAAGGTCCTGACTTCCTGTGTCAGCCACCCGATTATTGGCCAGAGAAGAAAGATTTCTCACAGGAGAAATTCGACAGAAGTGATGATCGACAGACAAAACAGGTGAAGAACACGCAGATGAAGAAGCTGGAAAAGGAGTCACGCCTTGATCCTGCTCGTTTCTCATCTTGGGTGAAGTTGGTGCGAACCACTGCTTACGTGCTAAGGTTCGTGTCAAATCTGAAGACGAGGTCCGGCCGTGACCTACAGCTGACCTCAGACGCCTCACTGGTGCATCCATTGTATCCATCTGAGCTGAAGACGGCGGAGACGTTCTGGGTGAAGCTGGCTCAAAGTGAGTTTGAAGAAGAGAAGCGTCAGCTCGTGGCTCAGGCAGGCCACTCCGGCACAGGAAAGCGGCCAAGGGAGCTAAAGGACAGCAGCATTCGACGGCTATCTCCATTCTTGGATGGCGATGGCATTCTTCGAGTCGGTGGTCGCGTGCGCCGGTCAGATATACCGTTCGAAGCAAGACACCAGCGCTGTTACCCAAACAGCACGCCGTGACTTGTCTCATCATCGAGCAGACACACAAAGACGCAGACCACGAGATGGGAGTGGAGCACACCATTTCCGAGCTGAGGCAGCGGTTCTGGATCATCGCCGCAAGAGAAGCTGTCAAACGAACCATACGCACCTGCCCGGAGTGCATCAGAAGACAACGCCACCAACTTCGTCGGAGCAAGCAAGGAGATCAAGAAGCTACTGCTTCAGCTTGATGAAGATCAAGTCAAAGACAAGACAGCGCACCTCTACATCAAGTGGCACTTCATCCCGCCGGGAGCGCCTCACTTCAACGGTGGATGTGAGGCAACAGTGAAGTGTGTGAAGAGGAGCCTGCGCAAAACGCTGCAGAGTGCAGACCTGACTGATGAAGAGCTACAGACTTCTTTCTGTCGCGCCGAGGCGCTGCTGAACTCTCGGCCAATCACAGCGGTGTCGTCCGATCCAAATGACGGCCCTCCGCTGAACCCGGCGTCGTTCCTGCTGGGTCATAATGAAGTTGACCTGGCACCGACCTCCTGTAACGACAGCAACTACCTGAAGCGAAGGTGGCAGCGGCTGGAACAACTCAACAGGGAATTCTGGCGCCGCTGGGTCCGAGAGTACCTGCCGAGTCTGCACGCCAGACAGAAATGGACCGAGGCGTCACGGAACATCCAAGAAGGCGAAGCAGTCCTGCTCGTCGACCAGACCGTGCCGCGCGGCTCGTGGCCCCTGGGAAGAGTCACCGCCACGTTCCCCGGCCCGGACGGACTGGTGCGGGTCGCTGAGGTCAAAACGTCAAAGGGCGTCTACAGGAGACCAGTGACGAAGATCGTCAGACTGGAGCTGGATCAGTGATGCAAGGGACTGATCGAGACATGTGAGGTGTGATAGTGATTCAGAGTGATTGGGAATCACTCAGCGTGGGGGGTGATGTCGCGGAGGACCGATTGATTACATAGCAGGTTCAGCGCGAGCTCCAAATAAATATGAGCTGATTTAGAGGAAAAAAGTGGGAACTACTTCTGAAGTGGGTCAATAAAGTGAAGCAATGTAGAAACAGTATTTGAATATTAAGTCGAATTAAGCAATTAAGACAAAACACAACGCGAGTAAAATATCACAAACAGTTTCACATTTTCCAAAATGTTGAAGTGAATCTTGGCAATTTCTCGTGACTACTTCACGACCATGATACATGCATTTCTTAAATTGAACTTTTTTAGCCAAACACGTACACATATGGTAAAATGAATGTCACCATCGTGTTCTACGGCCCAAATTACCCATAAAACATGTGTCACAGGCTGCGAATATCAGTTTTGATTTTCGGGTATATGTGCCTGCCCGGTTGACCTGACCTTGACCCTGACCTATGCTTGACTGACCCCTACATGGAGCTGACACTCTTGTAGGCCTTATATGATGGATTGTGCACCGTTTTGACAGAGTTTATGACGAGAGGCGCCCTTTGCGAAGTCCTGAAGTCCATGCTACTGAAAGCCCGATTTCAGGTGTTTCACCTGACCTTGACCTGACCTGTGACCTCAAAATTCAACTTTAAAGTACTCATCTGAAGCGTCTCGTCGCGTTCTTTCGTTTTCCGCCTCGTGCGTTTCGCTGCGCCTATTGGTTCTCGAGTTATCGGCTGGGGGCGTTTAACGCCCCCCCCCCCCCCAGCAAACGGTGGGTGGCGAAATACCCCAGCAACTGCCGGGTTAAGTTGACTCGTGTTTTTCAAACCTTTCATTTTGTCAGCCTCGCGAACATCGAAGATCCCAAATCAGTGAACGTGGCGACAAGGCATCTGGTAGAAGAAATGATACAGCAAGATCCAACAAAAAGACCATCAAGCACCTACGTGGTCAACCATCCGGCTTTGTGGACATCAGAGCAAACGGAGAAGTTTTTCCAGGTAAGAATAACTTAACCTTATTCACCCAATAGTCAAAATTGATGGGAAAATGATCAATAACATGCCAACATTGTATTAGTTATTTTAGTTTACCAAATAGCAATATAACAACAAACTTTCGACAACATTTCCATTATCATCGAATGCTTGTCTGTTTTATTGCTATTTGATAAACTAAAAGAGCCTGTGCAATTTTTGGCATGTTATTGATCATTTTCAAATCCGACTGTCATTTCTTCGCTCATGCCTACCATCCAAACGATTAAGAAAAAAAATCACCTATTTCAAGGAGCACGCCTTTTGGGGCAAACAAGGGTCATACTCATAATACATCCTTAGTAGGGTAGTACGTACCGGGACGGCTGGGACCACTTCTGCGCCTGCCATCTATCGGGAGTGTTTGGAACTACAGCGGGCGCCGGCCGGCCGCGCCGCGCGCCGCCGTTAGGGGGCTATGGAGGCGAGTGAAGTGGTGTAAAACTAGACGAATTTTTCGCTTGTAAAGCAAAAAACGAAAAATGTACACTCACTACGGTGTTCAGGAAAGCACTGGGAACAATATGGATATAATTTAAAGGTAGTACGATGCGAACTGTTGGTTCCCTAGAACAGTATTTACATACTTGTAGGAGATAGGGCTTTAACATTACTGGAGCTTCCAAGCTGCGTTCGCAAAGTACTTGATCGTAAATGTTTCCATTAAGAGGCACAAATCTAAAAATGTACAGTCAGAGCGTTGTTCCCAATGCTTCTAGGTACATAATGAGCATAAATTTAGCTTGAAGTGTCATGACACCTTGGTTCCCTGTCCACTTTAAAACGACACTTTGTGCCGCAGAGCCTATCTCTTCCAATGGAGGGCGGCTGGGTGGCGGTTGTAGTGGTGGACAAGATAATTCTTGAGTGAAATGAAATCATCTGCTTTCAAAGAATAATTTCGAAGAACTTGTAATAATTGACAAATGAACGTTAATTAGTGTATATTTTCAAGTTCATGGCAAATAAAAAGATTTTAAACAATGCTTGTGAACCCCAGTACCGCCGCGCGAGTAAACAAGTACTCGACGTACGGTCTGCCCGCCACTTCTGAAATTGGTCCGCGGCCGGCCGGCCGCGACCCGACACGAAGTACACAAGTACATGATTCAAGTGTTTCTTATTGTAAATTACGCACCAGTACAACGCCTTTTGGGGCGACTAACGGAGCGAGCGAGAGGATGGGCCTTGCACGTGCGAAATTTCGAGGGGGTGCCTCCAACTGACTTGTGCACGGCACCCTACTAACCGGTCTCTAGCGATGTGCCAAATTTGAGCACAATCGGCCCAGCCGTTCTCGAGATCTGGGAGCGGCACCCTGCACGTGCGCACATGCAGAAAGGGTCCCAACTCTGGCACGTGGATATGCAGTGCCTAGTGGGTGCCTACCTACATGCCAACTTTCAGCGCAATCGGCCAATTAGTTACCGAGATATTGTAACAATTACGAAACTGACACCTCTTCGTTTTGCACGTGGCACGTGCATAAGGGGTCACCCACATGCATCGAAAATAGTCCAATACTTGGTAGAAGGAATGAAGCTACCCTACAAAAATTACCGCGTGTAAATCGGTCAAGTGGTTGCTGAGATAGGTATAAGCCTCGCAAAAGCGTCCGCACGGCCGGCCGGCCGGCCGCTCATACTCAGAAATTTCAAGGAAAGACTACGCTCGCTTCGCTCGCTCCGTAACAAAATCTCCGGTACAGTACAATCTTGATCACGGTGTTTTCAGAAAGAAGTACCAAATTATAACCAACAGTTTGCGCACTAATTTCAAAAAATGCTCGAAAACAAAATATAAAACACATGATTCATTATCGGAATTCTGCGACTAAATTCCCAGCGTATGTGATAAAGGTAAAAATTAAAAAAGCTATTATTCTTGTTGACACGTGCTGATATATAAGCCGGTACGAACATTTTCGTATTGTTGTTCACTTTTTACAACGATCTGAAATAATCCTGTAAGTCATTTATTACTTTTGCTCTTCAAAGAAAGTTGGTGACACCCCGTAGAGGCCATCCTTTGAAGAAATCCTCTTCACCTATGCATGTGTACCTAATCAAAGGTCCAAATGAAGTAGGTATGTCAGCAAACCTAAAGACGATCCTCGTCAGTGATTGTAATTGTCGTTTTGTACTGTCCTAAGGCTGTCAGCGACTGCATCAAAGAAGACAAAGAACATGGCCCTGTGCTGAAGAAGGCTGTCAATGAAGAACTCGATCTTGCGTTCGTCACAGAACTGGTCAAACTGAAAGAATGGAAGAAAGTCGTCGACGCCACTCTGGATAAAGGGGCTTTCGAGAGCTACCAGGGGACCACTGCAGAACTACTTAGGTTGATAAGAAACAAGGTGATGTAAAAATTTTTATTATCTTTGCTTGTTTTTCGTTTACATTAGCGACGCACCACCAACGAAGGTCGATTAGCAAACACCTCATTTCGTAGAGTAGAATTTTCACGATGCACAATGCACATTGCACAATTCACATCCAAGATGGTATCTCGAAGAAGCGCTACACAGATCAGCACCAGTCCATACTGCACTACTCCCACTTTTGATGATCTGTTCCCTCTGCACTAAAGCGCTGATTACAAATGTGAAATACCTTAAATTCCCCTACATGCCGGTGGACTAAATTTTCCGTGGACTGCTACAGGGGATGTCTTATGCCCCCTTCTAACTCCCATCTTCGGAAACGTAGCGACACGCAGTAAACGGCATTTAAGCGCATCAAATCTCACGACGATGCGTTATTTTTATCAGGCAAAGGGTCAGGCCACCAGAGGTCATAAAGGTTAACCCGCGACCTGATGGGGGGCATTTTGGCGCCCCTTTGTTTTTCTTAAATAGCAACGCCAAATTTTAGTACCTTCCCGGGCATCAATTTGACACCTTCACACAAAATTTCAAGTCACAGGTCACCTTGAGTCAGGAGTTATTGAGGTCAAACTGAGGTAATGTTCGAGTAAACATGAGCAAAAAACATGACATTTTGAAACACTCACCAAATCTACAGGTAACAAGCAATTTTAAAGTTCTTTATGTGGTCATGTAGAGGAAAAAACGGCGCTACAAAACTGCTGTCTCGGATTTTCAAAGTTTTGGGATTTTCAACTCTAAAAATAAAGAAGTTTTTTAAACAAAAAACTATAAAAATCCCCAATTTTTTCGAAGTTCGAAAAAAAATCGGAATATATGTGATAGTCCCTGCGCTCTTCGCTATACATATAAAAATTTAGATCGATACCTTTTTTTGCCAAGTTATACCGAAAAACCTGTTCAAAATTGATGACGTCAAGTTTTTGAACTCAATTTTTAAGCAATTCTTGACCACGTAACGCAAAACAAAGACCACTATTGAACCATGTGATGAGCTGCATCGAATCGATACCCATTTTATGCAAAAATATCAACTTTGAATTTTAACCCTCGCCGGAACATGCAACCCCATAAGGTTTTCGCAAATAACTCGCTAAAATGCGGCCGATCGCGTCGAAACTTTCAGTACCTCGCATTGATCAATTTTACACCTACCCTGAAAATTTCATGACCCTGACCCCAATGACCTTTGAACTGTGACCTCTTTTCCGTGACCATGTTTGGCCGAAATCGCGATTCGGCGTATGTCGGCTCGCATTAGCCGCGCGTTTGCAAGCTTTTCGTGGTTTTAAACGTTCAACCATGTGATTTGATGTTGCTCCCATGCATTAGGGTGGGTGTCAAGGTCACCTGAAGGTCAGGTCATGTCATTGACCTTTGGTAACCTCGGTTCACTTTTTCGAGTTTCACATGTTTCTAGGCTAGCTTTTGGAGCTGATTTCGAATTTAGCAACCATTTGAACATTTACGAAGTAGTTTTGGTGCGTGAGATGATGTTTTTCGTACTCCAGCGTAGATGGGTAGCCATACGGCTTCCACGGTTCTACCCACCCATCTACGCTGGAGTACGAAAAACATCATCTCACGCTCTCAGTCCCAGTGGATAAAAACAACACCTAGTTTGGTGCCTTCGTAACATCTTACGAAGCTGTCAGAGGTGGATGACAGGTACTACGAATACCCGTCACGACCCCTACCGGTTGACCTGACCTGACCTGACCTGACCTGACCGGACCTGGTCTAAACGCTTAACGACATCATTTGTGATCAAAACTAACACGATATTCGTGATCAGCACCTTGGAAAACCCGTTAGCAGCCACGCTTTACGACTTTCTAACGGGTCCCGATATTCCCGATTTTTGGGTCATTGACCTGACCTGGAAGGTCAATCGATGACCTAGGACCTTAACCCGCGCACCGACGGGGGTCTACGCCAACTTCGTACCGACGGGGGGGGCGGATGACCGACCCCCTGAGATCTCGAGAACGAAGCAAGGTAGCGACAA